TTCCCCACCCATCACCATCCTTTGTGCAGCTTTGTGTTTGCTGCATAAACCCGCACTCTTCCTCCTCACTTAGCTTACAGGAGTCCCACGGCAGGGAGGGCATTCTGTGCTGCTTCTGTAATCCTGCCTGGTTCAGGCTGGCCACTGAAAGGGCAACTGCATGCTTGTAGAAAAGAACACATATTTATCATCTAAAACCTGGTAAGAGCGGGTATTGCCTCCAAAAGAGAGTGATGGTGGATCTCTCTGAAGATGTCTGAATTGATCATGAAGGGTTTACTGAGCAGTTATTCAGAAGCATTATTATTTGTATTTTTTTTTATTGTTTTAAGTTCCAGGGTACACATGCAGGCCGTGCAGGTTTGTTACATAGGTAAACATGGGCCATGCTGGTTTGCTTCATCTAACAACCCATCACCTAGGTATTAAGGCTGGCATGCATTAGCTATTTTTCCTGAAGCAGCAATAATTTTCAGTAGCCACATAAAATCATTTACATCAGAGTAAACTGACATCAAGCTTTAAATGAAGGCCTCAAAAGAGAAGTGCCACAGTTTCTAAACCATTCAGCTGGGAAACAAAAATTTTAATTTTTAAAAAACTAAACATTAGCCCAGTGTGGTGATTCATGCCTGTATGTTCTGTACTTTGGGAGGCCCAGGTGAGAGGAACACTTAAGCCCAGGAATTCGAGACCAGCCTAAACAATAAAGTGAGACCCTCATCTCCACAAAAAAAAAAAATATATATATATATATGAATTAGCTGGGCATGCTGACGCATACCTGTGGTCACAGCTACATGGGAGGCTGAGACAGGAGAACCACTTGAGCCCAGGAATTCGAGGCTGCAGTGACCCATGGTGGGGCCACTGCACTCTGGCCTGGACGACAGAATCAGACTGTCTCAAAAAACAAACAGAAAACAAACAAACAAAAAAATTAAGCTTTATTATTTAAAATAAAACTCATGGTCATACTAGTAGTATTTGGATTAGTAATGTGACAGTTAAGAGCATGACAGGCTGGTCTGAATCTCACCTCTACCACTTTCTAAGCTGCGTAACACTGGACAAATTATTTAACTTTTCTGTGGTGGAGTCCTTGTCTACAGAATAGGCATAAGCCTCACAAAGTTATTGTGAGGTTTAAATGAATTTACAGATGAAATTACTAAAACTGAGCCTGGAACTTACGTATATTTAACAGCATGAGCTGTTATTCACATTATAATAATTGCTATGAGAAATAATTTTTGTCACTATCTCATCTTATTTCAGTGCATTTCCAAGAAGCAAAGGTAGTTTAGATTTGGTTTGTTATAATTGCTTATCATCTAGTCTCATAAATCTCCACATTTTAACTAGTAAAATGGAACAGCTCTTTGAAAGGCCAAGGTGGGTAGATCACCTGAGGTTAGAAGGTCGAGACCAGTCTGGCCAACATGGTGAAATCCCATCCCTACTAAAAGTACAAAAATTAGCCGGGCGTGGTGGTCAGTGCCAGTAATCCCAGCTACTCAGGAGGCTGAGGCAGGAGAATCACTTGAACCCGGGAGGCGGAGCTTTCCAGTGAGCCAAGATCACACCACTGCACTCCAACCCAGGTGACTGATCAACAGAGACTCTATCTCAAAAAAAAGGAGAGCTCCATTGGGTTGAATTACCATTCCTTCTCACATTCATTTTAAAGCTTCAAGAAAATGGCTGTTTCAACACTGGGTCTGGTTTTCTACTTAAGTGTTCTGAAAGGATTTACTGAAAACCCCAAATTGGCCGGAACATTCCTGCTGCTTACCTTTCAGCAGAGTGACTGTGAGTGAATATGGTGGAATCCATTTGGTTTCAATTTTCTAATACACAAACACTTCATTGTACAATCAATGGCAACAGACTTGCACTATCTAAAAGCACACTGTTTCTGCTCCTTGATTTTTCTGCTACTTGATTTTTCTGCTCCTTGATTTTTCTGCTCCTTGATTTTTCTGCTCCACTTTTAACTCTGAGGTGATTAAGTTTCTTGTCCCCCACAAGAAATGTCTCTCAATTTATTGAGAGCATCACAACAAATTAGTTGCTATTAATTTTTTTGTAAAACATAACAAGGTAGAATCAAGTTCATCTTCTCAGTCTGCTCGGGCTGCCATAATGGTAATAATACCAGATGTGGTGGGGGCGGGGGGGCTCAAACAGAAATTTGTTTTCTCATAGTTCTGCAGGCTGAGATGTCCAAGATAGAGGTGTGAGCTGATCTGCTTCCCAGCGAGGACCCTCCTCCTGGCATCCAGATTCCTGAGGCACCTTCTCATTGTGCCTCACATGGTGAGGACAGTTCCAGTATTTCTTCCTTTTTTTTTTTTGAGCTGGTGTCTCGTTCTGTCTCCCAAGCTGGAGTGCAGTGGTGCTACTTTGGCTCACTGCAACCTCCACCTCCCTGGTTCAAGCAATTCCCCTGCCTCAACGTCCTGAATATCTGGGATACAGGCACATGCCACCATGCCCGGCTAATTTTTTTGCATTTTTAGTAGAGACGGAGTTTCACCATGTTGGTCAGGCTGGTCTCCAACTCCTAACCTCCTGATCCACCCGCCTCGGCCTCCCAAAGTGCTGGGATTACAGGTGTGAGCCACCATGCCCGGCCGTCTCTTCCTCTTTGTCTAAGTGCACAACCCTTACTGGATTAGGATCCCACCCTTACGACCCCGTCTAACCTCCATCACCTGCTCACCGGCCCTGTCTCACATTGCAGGCTGGGGCTTCCACGTATTGACGCATTCCATAAAAGTCTTCTAACCAGTCAAATATAAAACTCAAATTCAAATCCAGAATGTTTCTGGTTATATTAACTTTTTTCCATTCATATACAGAAAACCACCCAGTGAAATGCAATTTAGTTTTTACTTCAGGCTGAAAAATCTGGATGTGCAACTCAGTTATCAAGCTCACAGACAGAGGAAGGTAAAAGCTCAAAAGCATGCCCTGTCTTTTCACTGAGACAACACGGATCCACTTGTCTCTAAGACACGACATGATGGAGAGTACAAGGACTTAACAACTGCTTTTCCGCCGGGTGGGACTGAGCGCCTATATAAAACAATTCTTTTTTCATGTATCCTGGGTATTGGCCTAATTTCTTTAAAGTATGTGTGCTTAGGTTTTCTGGGATTTAAGCACCACGAAATTCAGAGGATCATATGAGTAGCAGCAGTTACTCAGAAAATTCGGTGAGCTCCCAACTGTGCCTAGAAAGATGAGGGCTGTAAAAGCTGACAGGGTCTTAGAGCCTCAGACACTTAACACTTTCCAGATGTGAGGGCTGACGCCCAGGGACAGTAAAAGACTTGCTCAGGCAGCATATTGGGGCCAGAGTGGAACCAAAACACAGGGCTCCAACTACAGGCCGGGGACCAGGGGCCACACTCAATGCCACCAAGCTACGGGTGCTCCTCACAGAAGATGAAGGGAGCTATTCACTCCCTGGCAAACACCATGATCCTTACTGGGCAATGATAGTAAGGAACAGAGCTTTTTCTTCTATACCAAAGGACAGGGTTTTGCCCTGCTGCCCAGGCTGGAGTACAGTGGCATGATCATAGCTCACTGCAGCCTTGATCTTCTGGGCTCAAGTGATCCTCCTGCCTCAGCCTCCTGAATACCTGGGACTACAGGTGCATACCATCATGCCCAGCTAATTTTTTTTTTTTTTTTTTTTTTTTTTTTCCATAGAGACAGGTTCTTCCTATATTGCCCAGGCTGGTCTTGAACTCCTGGCCTCAAGTGGTGCTCCCACCTCGGCCTCCCAGAGCACTGGGATTTCAGGCATAAACCACCATGCCCAGCCAGGACCAGAGCTTTAATCTCACTCATGCCTTGACTCCCCAGGTGTGGCAATATCCACCAGTGTTTCTCCCAATGTCTTTTGGCTTCTGTTTTTCCTCCCAAATGATGAACACTCCAAGCTAATGAATTCCTCTTTCCACCTCATTCCTCTGGGGACGGAGATGGAAATGTGCTGCCAATCCCTCCTCTTCCACGCATACCTCTGTGGTCATGTGACCTTAACCTTGACACTGGGCTGGAATCTAAACAAACAGCCCTTAAAACATTTCTGTGCAGTATAGGCTCCTCACACTTGAGGCTTCATGATAGGGTTGAAAAATAAAACCTAAAAATACTAAATTGTAGACAGGTAAAGAGATGTTCTGGGATTTGCTTGCTTTTGTTAGTTTCCATAAAACATTCTCATGTGTGGACACATAACTCACTATTGTTGTATGGGAACTTACCGCTAAATTGATTTGACATGACTTTAACTTGTACCTGCAGAAATAAGGTGTGTTCTCTGCAAATTTTCTCAGTCAACTGGAATGGTGAGCAGGCTTTTCATCCTACTCTGTGACACAGGGCTGACTTTTCCAATTCCATTTCTTTGTAACACAAAGAAATCTGTACATCTGCCAAATTTAGTATGATACTTAATAGCTACTCTTGAGGCTCTCAAATTTCACTGGCCTAGCAGGACCTTAAAAACCACAACTTCTAAGATACCAGCCAACATAAATAAAAGTTCATATTAGAAAAATTCAACTTTTTAGTGACGCTCATATCCCTCCTAAATTTATAATACATCTCTAAGTAACATTTTTTAAAAATTAAGCTCTTCACATGTATTGAGGGCACACTGTGGACCTACTGTTCAACACTTCAGTATTGTTAAGCACTTAACCATTTGAAAAAAATTAACAAAATGATTCGTATTTACAACAGTCACTCGGTTGTCTATTTATGTACACATCCTTCTGAATAGCTTGTAAGATGGTTTATGCACCTGTATCTCTCTCCTCAACTAGCCTTTGCCTTGCTCAGAGATAAGGCCTTCCTACCTTCTCTGCTCAGGATGCTGGTCCACAGAAGGCTAAATGACAGAATGCGTTAGTCCTGTAATCATGACTGTCAAATTTTACATTCAAATAATTCCTAACTATTGAACTATTTATTCTTACCAGAACTGGACACACGCCTGATCCTCTGAGGAGATAAGGCTCGATCAGCACTGAGATTTCTACTGTCGCTGTTCCGCCTCAAACAGGATACCGGGGGCCCCACTTTGCCTTTTGGAGCAGCTATTTTTCTCACACTGCAGGAGTCAGGCTTGGATATATTCCTACCTGAGGTGGTTGTCGGTTTTGAAGCAGAGCCCTGTGAAAATAAGTTAAGACTGTAAACCAAAAATAAAATTCTAAGCGCCCCAATTGATGGAATGGACCCCTCCCTCTAGGCTAAGGGAATTCCAAAGAAACCTAAAAAACTCGTTCAGGCCACAGTGGGAAGGAGGGTCAGACACGCCTCATTATACTCTCCTTCCTTTAGAATTCACGCACAACTGACCAGCATTAACATTAAAACTGAGACGTTAAGTCGGATACAGACTCTTTACAGCAAAAAGACAGCAAATTCCAATCTGACTCTAGCATAGCATCACATGACAGATAGCAAGCCCTGAAGGAACCTCAAGTATTTTTACCCCAAAATATTTTTCTTGAACATACTTTGAAATGGCCTTGCAAAGCTGTCTCTTGTGGGGACAAACTTCACATTCCATAGAGAATCTTCTTCCCGTCCCAGATCTTTTTCTGGTCCCAAAGCAATGAGCTGAGAGTCTAGCACCTTTTAAAAGTCTAAATAGGGAATATTTGCCATCTGCTGCTTCTAAAGGTGGCCACCTATGAGATTTCATCTACATAATAAGAACCTTGGTCTCCACAGCCCCTCATCTTAACCAACACACTTCTTTGTATTGATTCCAGGTCTTTAAATAATAACTTAATTCTTTCAACCAACTGCCAATCAGTAAATCTTTGAATCCATCTACAATGTGTAAGTCCCTGCTTCAAGACGTCTCATCTTTCCAGACCAAACCAATGTATATCTTAAATGTACTGACTGATGGCTTTTGTATCCCTAAAACGTAAAAAAATCAAGCTGTAACCCAACCACGTGGGCACATGTTCTCAGGACCTCTTGAAGCGCTGTCATAGGCCATGGTCCTCATATTTGGCTCAGAATAAGTCTCTACAAATATTTTAGAGTTTGGCTTTTTCATTAACAAAATTTTAATCGAGATAATACCTTTTCCATACGTGGAATTAGCTATGTGAAAGAAACAATTTCTAAGTGGACATGTCCAGTTGTCCTTTTGTATCAAAAATGATTGATTCTAGGACCCTGGCAGATATCAAAATCCATGGACACTCGCGTCTCATATGAAAAGATGTAGGGTTTGCATATAACCTACGCATACCCTCCCATATACTGTAAATCATCTCCACATTACTTACGACATCTACATACTTGTTTCAAGTGGATTCAACATAGTATTCAGCATGTAGTAAGTTCAAGTTTTGCTTTTGGAAATATCACCGATGTTTTCCTCTGAATATTTTTAACCCAAGTTTGGCTCAATCCACAGATGTGAAACCCATAAATACAGAGAACTGACTATATTCAATTTTCATTTTTACTATGAAGCAATTAAAATGCTTCACAGTTTACTCTTTAAATCACCATATTCTGCCTTTGTACCCATTAGTGAGAGTGTTCTCAAGATCACCAGTGCCACAAGTTAAATTCAAGCTACAGTTTTCAATCCTTTCCCTGGGAGTGGGGGGAGGCGGGGGGGCGTCTCTCTATGGCATCCAATCTAACAACTGCATCCTCTGGTTTCCTGACAAAACTCTTTCCTGGTTTTCCTTCCACCTTTCTGGTCATTCCTTTTCTGGGTCCTATTCTTCTGTACCTTTGGAAGCTAATGATATAATTTGCATCTGTGTCCCACCCAAATCTCATATCGAATTATAATCCCCAGTGTTGGAGGAGGGGCCTGGGAGGAGGTGATTGCATCATGAAGTAGACTCCCCATTGCTGTTCTCAGGATAGAGTTCTTAGAAGATCTGGTTGTTTAGAAGTGAGTAAAGCCTCCACCATTGCTCTCTTCCTCCTTCTCCAATAATGCAAGACGGGTCTGCTTCCCCCTTTGCCTTTGGGCCTGGACTGTAAGTTTCCGGAAGCCTCTGCAGCCATGCTTCCTGTACAGCCTGAGAAACTGTGAGTCAATTAAACCTCTTTTCTTTACAAATTACCCAGTCTCAGGTAGCTCTTTATATAGCAATGTGAGAACAGACTAATATAGGTAGTATTCAGGAAGACCTAGCCTTGGTCCTGTTCTCTTTACCCCCCACGTGCTCCTCCCACATGATCTTGGCTGTTTCTATTGCCACTTGTACGCTGGTGCATCCAAATCCACATGCCTAACCAATACTCTCTCCTGAGTTTTCCATATACCTCACTTCTTTCTACACCTCCCCTCTCAGCAACCTTCAAGTACCTCTATGTATAGTTCATTTTCACATTGCTGATAAAGACACACCTGAGACTGGGTAATTTATTTAAAAAAAAAAAAAAAGTCATTTAATGAACTCACAGTTCCACGTGGCTGGGGAGGCTTCACAATCATGGTGGAAGGTGAAAGGTACACCTTACATGGCAACAGACAAGAGAGGATGAAAGTCAAGTAAAAGGGGTTTCCCCTCATAAAACCATGAGATATCACGAGACTTATGCACTATCATGAAAGCAATATGGGAGAAGCTGCCCCCATGATTCTATTAGCTCCCATCAGGCCCCTCCCACAATATGTGGGAGTTATGGGAGCTACAATTCAAGATGAGATTTGTGTGGGAATACAGCCAAAGCATATTACTAACATATAGTCCTTATAAGAATATACATAAAGCCCTTAACAGATTATTATTCTAAATTCTAAGTTTATGTATCGACTCAATCCTCATATAATCCTGTGAAGTTGGTAGGTTTATTGTATCCCATTTTACGGAAGAACATGAAGCATTTTCTAAAATTAAACTTACTTTCCCATCTATCTCAAAACTTCTCTCTTCCTGTGTTTACCACAACATACCCAGGCACCCAACTTCAACAATGAAAGCTATTTTTGAGTGTTTTCTTTCTTACCTCTTACACCCCGCTTTTCCATCTGCTGTCATTTCTCACCAAGATTACTGAAACCATGTCCTCAGGATCTTTCTGGTCTCACCAGCTTTCAAGCCATTTTTCATTTGCCTGCTAAGGCAATCTTTCTCAAACTCAAATAGGGTTAGACACCTTCTATCCGTCTTCCCGATAACATCTCTTCTTCACAAGGCCCAGTAATCCTTTTGCATGTGGAAGCCCCTGCCATCCTCTTCACCTCATTTCCTACTGCTCAGGGTTCTACACTCCCAGTTCCCATCACACCTACCACCTAGAGTCCCCTAAATGAGAAAATCTTCTCTATTTCATCATCTTTGTACATAGTATTCCTCTACCCAGAATATTTGCCCTTCAAGTTCCAGCTAGTGACAACATGTGCTCTCCCCTGTAAGCCTTCCTTGACAGCTCTGCCCATCATCACACCTCATTCCTTCTCCTGCAGCACAGCAGTCTACTCACACTCCCAACTTAGCAATCAACATACCCTTGCTGGTTTACTTTCTCATACTGATAGAGGCAGAATGCAGAGAAATCCTAAGCAGACAAGGGCAGGTCCCCAACAAAACTCCACCTTCAAGCCAAACACGCTGAAACCCACAGCCCAAAGTGAGAACTTCTATCCCTGTTTGCCTGCTCTCTCCTGAATAGTTCTTTCTGAATAGTGTCTTTTTACCAATTGATTGTTGCCTTTTCCAAAACTACCTATGGCCTGTCCTGCCCCAGCATCTCATGCCTATAAAGGCCCCAGACTCAGTGGGCAGAGAAGAGGTTTGACTGGTGTATTAGACTATTTTCACACTGCTGATAAAGACATACCCAAGAGTAGGCAATTTACAAAAATAAGAGGTTTAACTGGACTTAACAGTTCCACATGGCTGGGGAAGCCTCACAATCATGGCGGAAGGCAAGGAGGAGCAAGTCACGTCTTACATGGATGGCAGCAGGCAAAGAGAGATTGTGAGGAAAACTCCCCCTTATCATAACCATCATATCTCGTGAGACTAACTATTATGAGAACAGCATAAAATCTGCCCTCCATGATTCAATTCCCTCCCACTAGGTCATTCCCACAACATGTGGGAGTTCAAGATGAGATTTGGTTGGGTACACAGCCAAACCGTATCAACTGGAGAACTGAGAGGATGGCTGGATCTACTGCCATATCACCCGGAACATGAACACAGCTGATCTCATCTCATCTTGGAAGCTAAGCAGGGTCAGGCCTGGTTAGTACTTGGATGACAGAGGGACAGCTGGACTTCGGAGGAGAGATGTCTTAACTTCGGGAAAGAGCTGGCTAGAGATGGCTGGACTTCAGGGAAGATCATCTGCCTGTCCCATCCCCTCTCCACCTAGCCTCTCTGCCGAGAGCCACTTCCAACACTAAATAAAATTATCCACCTCCACCATCCTTCAAGTGTCCATGTGACCCAATTCTTTTTGGACACTGGACAAAAGCTTGGGACCCACTGAGAGTGGGTACCCAAAAAAGGTTGTCACACTGGCCCTTTGCCCTCCTGGGCTGAGGGCAGCTGCCCCACACAATGAGGCAAAGGGCCCACTGAGCTGATGAGACACCGCTGTCGGTGGATGGAGGAGCTAAGACAGCACTGTGACATGCACTCTTCGGCTTCTGGGGTAAAGGCACCCCCACCTGGGCACTGCTGTGGGGCCCACACAGAGCCTGCTCCTGCCAACATCCAAGGTGGCTGGCGGGATCCCGCACTTGCTTGCCCACACACTCCCACCAGCAAGAGGTTGAGCATGGTGGGCTGAATAAATGGGGTGCCCCCATTCCAAGTTCAACAAAGGGGTAGAGAAAAACTCCTGCATCAGTATTACCCACTGCTCTAGGCGCTACATTTGTACAAAATCTCTTTTTTCCCCTGTATCCTAATAATCATTTCCATATATATAATACACACTAGGTATCCAATAAATGTTCCTATTCTACATAGAAGAAATGAAATGGGAGCACGAGCCTTACTCACAGTGCACATTACAACACCAAACTACATTTTGCATTCTCCCTTTACATTAATGTAAACCAAAACTAAAATTCTAACCCCCTCCAACCATCTGAATGGACCCCTTCTCTCGACCAAGGACATTCCAAGGTTAACCTGAAAAACTATTCAGGCCAAGAAAGGAAGGTGGAGTCAGACATGATTATAATCTCCTCCCTGTTGGAATTCAGGCACAGCTGACCAGCATTAACATCAAGCAGACCTTAAGACTAATAGAACAGACTCTTTTAAGTCTGATAAGAAACATTTACTATCAATTTCCCCTCACGCCTGCTACCTGAAGGTTTCATCTGCATGATAAAACCTTGGTTTCCACAACCCCTTATCTTAACCCAGACATTCCTTTTTATTGATTCCAGGTCTTTAGATAACAACTCTTTCAACCAACTGCCAATCAGAAAATCTTTAGGCTGGGTTGCAGTGGCTGAAGCCTATAATCCCAGCACTTTGGGAGGCCAAGGTGAGTAGATCACATGAGGCCAGGAGTTCAAGACCACCCTGGCCAACATGATGAAACCCTGTGTCTACTAAAAATAGGAAAAAAAAAAAAAAAGCTGGGTGTGGTGGTGCATGCCTGTAATCCCAGCTATTCAAAAGGCTGAGGCAGGAGAATTGCTTGCACCCAGGAGGCAGTGGCTGCAGTGAGATCAGAGATCACACCACTGCACCACAGCCTGTGCAACACAGAAAAAAAAAGAACAAAAGAAAATCTTTACATCTGCCTGTGACCTGGAAGCTGCCCCCACCTACAGCTGTCTCGCCTTTCTAGACAGAACCAATGTATAACTCACATGTACTGACTGATGCCTTATGTCTCCCTGAAATGTATAAAACCAAGCTGTAGACTAACCACCTTAAGTACATGTTCTCAAGACTTCCTGAGGGCTGTATCATGAACCACTGGTCACCCGTATTTGGCTGAGAATAAATCTCTTCAAATATATTACAGAGTTTGACTCTTCTTTTTGATACAAAGAACAACTGAGCCCAATAGAGACTTAGTACCTCCCTGAGGTCACTTTGCACAGTGAATGATGGAGCTACAATTTGAAACTACTCCAAAATCCGTTTTGTAAAGTAGCATGTTCCCCACCATTACCCTTTTCCTTTGTTAAAAAAAAAAATCACAAGTGTTAATTTCCTGTAGAGATACATAAAGCCCGACACTGATTACAGTTGAGTTCACACATTAGGTGAATTCAGCAGTAACTTAGTAGGCCAATAACCCATCAGCACAGCTGGAGGTCATGTTTTGGCACTGGAGAACAACACAGAATTGGCCAAGAAAAGCAAGGTGACTGTACACAAACTAACAAAGATCTTCTGTCTCTGGCTAGGTTAAATTAAAGCTGGCTAAATTCATCTCCCAGAGAAAAATCTTCTTTAAAAAAGAACCCAAAAGTTAATCTCCCAGAGAAAACCTTCTTTAAAAGGTAATGCAAACTTCTCATCTGTTTACAAAAGTAAATCTTCAGCACATCACTTACTTTTGCCTTTCAGAGTCAACATTCCAAACATTTTGAAACCCTACGGTGTATGGAGCAGAAAACGCCAGGATTCAAGTGAGGGCCCTGAGTTTGAAGCCCAATTGTACTACTTAAGCGGCTGCCTGAGTTTGAAGTGACCTCTCTGAAGTATTAAAATGTAGACAACAATTGCCCTATTGTTACTGGGAAGAGTAAAGAACAATGTATGTAAAGCACCTGAGCATTACAGGGCCCATTAAATGGCATAATATACCTAGAATACCTGAGCAAAGTACCTGGGCCAGGGCAAGCAGTGGATAAATAGCAATTCCTTTCCTTTTAGGTAAGTCTCCATTCCATTTATCTCACACACTATCATGAATAAATAACCTCTGTCTCGAGGAGCTATGCCTAGTCCAAATTAAAATCAAGTTCCTTCTTCCAAGTAAGAACTTTTCTAAAGATTCAGATGAACCCTGACCACTAAAGAGCTGTGAGGTTGCAGGCAGCCTGAGGATTCAGTAAACTCAAGGCTTAAGGTAGGACGAAGTCAACAGTGAAAATTAACATCCGGCCGGGTGCAGTAGGCTCATGCCTGTAATCTCAGCACTTTGGGAGGCAGATGTGGGCGGATCACTTGAGGTCAAAAGTTTGAGACCAGCATGGCCAACATGGTGAAACCCCATCTCTACTAAAAATACAAAAAATTGGCCAGGCGTGTGCACCTGTAGTCCCAGCTACATGAGAGGCTGAGGTGGGAGAACTGCTTTAACCCGGGAGGCGAAGGTTGCAGTGAGCCAAGTTTGTACCACTGCACTCCAGCCTGGGTGACAGAGCAAGACTCCATCTCAAAGAAAAAGAACATTAACATCCCTCCAGGATGGTCTCTTCATCAATCCAGGGCAGTTAGAGCCTTTGAGTGCCGCTCAAGACACCAACAGGTATTGATGTTTTAGGAAAACATGCAGTGAATTCATTCAGCTCTCTACAGTAAGTGCAAAGCCAGTGGCCTATGAGCATCTGCCCATTGTCCTGTCCTCCTGCTCAGAGACATGAAATGTGAAAGAGGTGAACTAGCCAAATTAGAAAGCACTCTGCTTCAGACATGATCATGAAAAAAGAGTAAGTCCTTTATAACCAGCTGATAAGCAAAAGTGACAGCGCTGAGGATACGGGACAATCTTTCAAAACTTACGAAGTATTTCATCTCTAATTAAGAACCCTAACTGCCAGATTCCTAAGGTGAAAAGTACTTCTTCTCCAAGATGTAATGGGATCAATTTCAACCTGATGATTCTATCACCCTTCTTCAATACCACATCGTGAGCCTGAAAAACAGGCTTTCATGCTGCACATGGGAAATATAACTCTAAGACTAAATAAACAAATCAGGAAAACTTTTAGTTTCAAAATTACCCAACCAATTTAAATTCAAGACAAATTTCATTAAAAAAAAAAAAAAACTATGATAGTGTTTTTGGTAGTTGGGGACTGACACACAAAAACATCTCCCATAAAAAGAAATAAACATCTTGCTTCTGTGTGTATCTATAAACACCAAACTAAGAATGTTGATTAGAATTAAGAGGGTATTGTCATTTAATTTTGCAAAAAAATTAAAATTATAAATAATGTAAGTTTTCTAAGTTTGACTTCAAGATAACTTAAAAACTAAATCTGAGTTTTGAAACAATGGATGAAGTCAGTTTAGAAATCACTGTGGTGTACCATTCTTCCAAGTAGAGAAGATTGGTTGTTAAAGCTCAAACATCTCTAAACTCAGGTTTTAGAGAATTGAGAATATCTTCAGTCTTTCCTAACCTTGTCTTCTAAAGGGATCTGGTGATTTCCTCCTGTGTGGCCCCATGCACCCTGAAAACACCTAAGTCAGCCCTTCTGCACTTGCTATTCTATGTGCTTCATTCCTCTTGCCAGGAGCCCTCCAAGGGACAAGCTGTCTGTGTCACACCTGCCTTTCTCCCCTGGCATCTAGCTCCATTCCTGTCCCAGAGGACAGGCACCCAAGGACAGCCTGTCTGGGGCTGAAAATACACCTAAGTCCCCACTGCCAAAAATAGGGCCGAGGACAAGTACTCTACGGCCTGTCAAATGTTTTTAAAACCCAGAAAATCCGTTTCTTCACACTATTCTCAAAAACATATGCATGTTTAAAGAAAAATCACTTTTACACTGCATGTGAATTCTTTATTCTTTAAATAGAACTCTCTTGGTCCCCCCAAATATTTTAGACAGGTGCTACGGAAAACATACTGGTTTTTCACTATACATGAATACAGGAGATTTTATGTACGAGGAATCAATACATTAAGGCTGCAAGAGGCCTTACACATCCACTAGTGCAATACTTTCATTTTTGGATCTCAAAAGATTACTTGTTCAAAATCACATGAGCTAGTCAGAGGCAGAATCAAGAATACTCCTGCTCACAGAAGATAGCTCCACTTCCCAGAGCTGCCTCCTCCACAAGAGTCCAGGAGTTATTTTTATGTTGACATGTTTACCAGTACTCCCGAGCCATTTCTTAAATGTGGTCCAATACATTTAAAAGCTGACAACCCAATTTTTTCAGAAAAAGAAAATATAATCTGATTGTATCAGCCATTTAACTACTAACTATACTAAAATATTAAAGTAACTTTTTTTTAGCACACTAATAAAAGGAACAGTGATACTTGATACAAAATTCTGAAATTGAGGATTTTTTCCCCCCATATTCAGGTTTGTTATATTGAGACCTATTAACACGGTAATATGTACTGAAAAAAACAAAGAATTAACAACTAAATGTAAATCTGCCCATCTGGTTCTGCAATATTATTGACTAATAGATAACTAATTGGTAACATATCTTAGTTTACCCCAGGGTTCTCTGAAGCATGCAAAATATACGTACATATATTTATTACTTACCAAAAACACAGAACCATATTCAAAAGTGTCATTCATAATCTCTTGTTTCAGCTCTTGTTTTTCCATAGATGTTCCATTTTCTTTTTCACCCTTCTTTTCAGGGCTAATCCTATCAATGTTGGGAACATATGCCATTTCCAAACATTCTGCACTTTCCATTTTGACAGGGAGTATGCCTTTGATCTTCTGAAACAACGCAGCTACAGACCCGGCCTCGCATGCTGAGTTGGATGAACTGGCTTTGTCAACATCTTCCTGATTCGATTTCACGGCAAATGTTGTTCTTGGAAACTTGTGTGAAGCATTTTTAGAATGAGTTGTAACACGCACAGCCTGGCTAGTAATGAGTTTATTAAACTGCTGCTTATGTGTCTTGTTAATGAGAATTTCTGCCTTTTTGTCTGCATTCAAGTCAGATCTTGGTGTTCTGCTCGAGACTGTTGCTGGCTGTCTTGAGGAAGACACTGAAGAGGGTGATGAGGCACTGGTCAGCTGAGGTCTGGGAGTGACCTTTGATAAAGCCGCATCTTTGGATTGCAACACTGGTCTAGACATAACTTTTGCTTTGACATTCTTGAAGTTTGGTCTGGGATAACTTATAATTTCAGTTTTTCTAACTTTGCAGCCTGTTGGGGTATTCGTTTTGGTAGTTGGTTTTCCTAGACTAGGTTTACCCACGTTCACAGGAGCCCCCTTTGAGTCTGGCACATTTTTAGGCCCTCGATTACTCTTTTCCACTTTCTTACATTTCTCTGTTGCTTCAATCGGTGAAACAGAAAAGGTTACTTCTGTGGGTTCTAGGACTGGTGTTGACATGCACATCGTGTTGTTTGTGCTAATGACCATATTATTTGCATTCCAAGTCAGTTCAAATGGCGAACCCACCATTTGTCCTGACAGGCTACCGAGAATCAGTTCTGAGGTACAATTCTGGGTTCCCAAATCCCTTCCTTTGGTGGCCATCTGTTTGTCTTCAGTCTCAGTGACTTTATGCTCTGGGTTCAGCACTTGGGCTTCACTTTTATCAAAAGCTGGCACCACTAAAGGGCATTCATCATCAATAAGACAATGGGACACTGTCTCTCTTAGATTTTGGCCCATTTCCTTTTGCCTGTATGAGCTCTGTGAATGCAACTCGCTATTGGATTCATGTTTGGATAAACAAAAGAACTCTTGTAATGCAGACCCACTGGGGACTTCCATGCCATCAGAAACTGGTGTTAGAGCTTGTATCTCTTTTTCTCCAACTAGTCTTTGCTGTGAGCCATCTGTGTACTCACTGGAGACCTTTCCTGAAGAGCATGGACAGTGATTTCCAATATCTGGAACAAAAACCTCAGTTTGCATCACCACATCAGAAAGCGCTGCGTAAGTCATGTCCTGGGGTTCTGATGGTGTAGCTTGAGGGCTTTCAAAGCGTTCTCTATCAAAAGTAGTTTCTCTTGCATGCATCTTATCAGAATGGGAAGATGTCCAAGAGGAATAGGATAAAGATATATTTCCACTTCTCCTACCAGTTGGTGGCAGACTTCCAGTGGTATGGAAAGACTGACTCTTTCCGACGCCATGATGTGACATAAAGGTGCAGTTAACTTTATCCACTGTCATGTCAAATGTCTGGTTTAGCTCCAAGGCAGCAGAGTAGCCTGTACATTTCAAATCATCATTAGGCTTCCACACAAAAGGCAAAGCTGGCTCAACACTCTGGCCCTGAACTTCTTGTAAGCATTGACAATTATGTTGCACATATTCAGGCTTCTCTGTACCTGCAAGCGCAGGAGACTGACAAATAGAATCTTTATGTCTATCTAACACCTGCTTACTAATGAAGTCACTAGAAGACTTTTCATGATCAAATACTTCAATACACTGAGGGTTTAAAGAAATATTTTCACCAGTGACCACAGATGGGTCAGTTTCATAATCAACCACCATGTCATCTGGGGGGGCAGAATTCCAATTCACACTGCTGACTGAAGAGTTTTGTGTAGGTGGTGATTTTGGGTTGTATCCATGTGTATTTCCATCTTTACCACTGGTAAAGAAGGTTTGCAATTCATCTTCTGTTTTATCATCTAAATTATCATCATTCATCCTGAAGAGTTACCTTAAACCTCTGCCATTTTATTTCTTCAATTCCTTTCAAATGAGAGGGTAGGAAAAATGATCTGTCTTCTAGGTTTTTCAGGACAGTTCAAAGTTTTTTAGTCTAGGATGCTCTGAAGATTCAATGATTTGTTGTTCCCTAGAAGAAATAAAATGTTTAACTCAAGTTAACTATTATAAAAATTAACAGGCCACCCCTTGATTAGTTTCAATCACTTTATTTTCACATTTAGAACCCACAACTATTGATCTGGGTAATTAAGATATAATTAGATAATCTACTACCCCTTTTCAAGACACCTTTTTGATTTGAGGGAATGGGGCAGAAAGGAAGATGGAGACATTGCTCATTAACCCTGTGCCTGACTTCACAACTGAAATGCTTCTTTCCCACTCCCAGGGACTTGTCAGAGCGAAGGAGCTAAATCTAGCAATAGTTTTTTCTTCTTGTTGGTTGACAGAGTGACAATTCACCCAGATATCCTTACAATAGTCCCAACATATCTGTTGTCCCAGGATGATTAGTAATCATGTCCCTTTCATTCTCAGAAGGGCCCCCTATTATTTCCATGCAGAGTAATTATTAGACAGACCATGAAGCCCCAGCAAATGAGCTGAAGATCAATGAAGAACTCATGTTTCTCCTTCGTTTTCATTCCTATCTTAAACATATGGCATTTCCAAACTGAAGGAAAAAAAAAAGTTGTCAATTTTTTTTTTTTTAATAGAGATGGGGTGTCACCATGTTGGCCAGGCTGGTCTTGAAATCCTGACCTCAGGCGATCCACCCATCCCGGCCTCCCAAAGTGCTGGGATTACAGGCGTAAACCACCTCGCCCAGCCTAAAGCTGTCAATTCTTAAAGGCTAAAGCAGTGCTCTGCTGGAAGTCTCTCGAAATGTTAGAGAACTGCCATATATTATGGACTAAACTGTTCCCCACCCCCTTCCCAATTCATACGTGAAGCCCTAATCAGCCTTATGCAACTATGTCGGAGACAGAACCTTTAAGGAGATGATTAAGGTTAAATGCAGTCCTAAGGGTGGAATGCTGATCCAATAGAGCTGGTTTCTTTCTAAGAAGGGGAAGTGACACCAGAATGCTCTCCCACCCTCAGTTCACCCCCTCTCTACCAAATTAGAGTACACTCAGAACAGTAGGAGAGCTCTCATCAGAAACAAACCCAGAAAAGAGCCTTCATCTTGAACTTTCCAGCCTCCAGAATTGTGAGAAAATAAATTTTTGTTGTTTAAGCCATCCAGTGTATGGTAATTTGTTACGGTGGCCAAAGAAGACTTAAGTACCACATGACCCAGCAATTCTACTCCTAGAATCTACTGAAGAGGAATGAAAACATATGTACACATGAAAACTTGAATAGGAATGTACATGATTCTTAATAGAAGTACTATTCATAATAGTTACAATGCAGAACTCACATGTCCATCAACTGATGAGCAGAAAACAAAATGTGGTGTTATGCATACAATAAAATATTCTTCAGCAATAGAAAGCAAGGCAAATTGACACATAGTGCAACATGGATACAGTATTACACCTGAAAATATTATACCAAATCAAAGAAGCCAGTCACAAAAGTCTAAGTATTATATGACACTATTTACATGAAATATCCAGAATAGGCAAACCCATAGAGACAAAAAGTAGATCAGTGGTTCTTAAGGCTGGGAAGGGAGAGAAAGGGAACAGACAGTGGCTGCTAACTGGGATAATGTTTCTTTTGCAAGTATGTTCTAAAACTATATAATGATAATGGTTACACAATGTTAGATACTGAAAACTATTGAATTGTACACTTAAAAATGAAATCTTTAAAAACACCCATAAAAGCATTCAAATCTACAACTTTTTGCAAATCAATTATTACTGTTTTTTTGAGACAGAGTCTTGCTTTCCCACCCAGGCTGGAGTGCAGTGGTCCAATCTTGGCTCACTACAACCTCCACATCCCGGTTTCAGGTAATTCTCCTGCCTCAGCCTCACTCGAGTAGCTGGGACTACAGGTCTGCACCATCATGTGTGGCTGACTTGTATTTTCAGTAGAGACGGAGTTTTACCACATTGGCCAGGCTGGCCACAAACTCCTGACCTCTGGTGATCTGCCTGCGACAGCCTCCCAAAGCACTGGGATTACAGGTGTGAGCCACCACGCCCAGCCACTTTCGGGAAATAACTCAAATTTTATTATGCTTTTGGTCAAACGGCAGTGCCTAAGAAAGGTCCACATGTTCAAGCTAGGACTGCAAACATACAGATACACACACACTTGAACTGACTTTCTAATCTAGTATTCAATGTCAATCCGATGTCACAGCACTGCTGTAAAGAAAAAAATATATCCATGAGGGAGGGAAAAAAATGCCATTCTGTGTGTTCATTCAAACTGCTGAATTAAGAGTAGGTCTCATTTTTCTATCTTGCAATGTTTTCTCTGTGTTCAAACTTCAGTGGCCTGAATAAAACCAGGAGAACAGGAACTATGCTAAAACTGAAACATCAGTTTTCTTTACTAACAGTACTCTGTGTGTTTCTGGCCAGGCATCCTGAAATCAGCCTTTAACAGAATACAAAAAAGGCTACAATGTTTATTTCAACAGCATGTGCACATACGCACATCCAAAAAGCGGTTGTGACCCTAAAATGAGGGCTGTATGATTGATATACTGATGAAAGTGTAAATTTGTTAACTCTTTTTACCATGTAACTCCTTAGTGAAATCACTGAATAGTTTATTGGCAAGAGCCTTAATAAAAGCTTTTATGAAACATAAATTAACATTTTTAATCATCCAGCATAAAATACATGCAAACTAAACGTTTAAATAAAGAAATAATATTTATTCATTTTTAGGCTTACATGCATGAGATATAACTTCCGAAAAGCACTAAATATGCTACACCTTTCTGCTTCCCTAAAGGCCAATACTCACTGAAGAGATTTTGGTGTAAGCAAATACAGGCAAAGCGCACTGCAAACATGCACTTAGCATAAATTGTGGGAATTATTTATCTTTGTAAACAGTTGTTAGCTTCAATTAATTGAATTTTTATTGCCCAAATTCCCCCTTCCAAAGTACATAAAAGATGATTTTTAAACCTGAATAAAGTAAATGACTCATATGTCAAAGTTATTTTTTAAATAGTATAAAAGAGGATAAATAATTATATCACTAGTCCTATGTTTGTTTTTACCAGTTGTCTTTTTTTTTTTTTTGAGACAAGGTCTCACATTGTCTCCCAAGCTCCAGTGCAGTGGTGTGATTACAGCTTACTGCAATCTTGACCTCCTTGGCTCAAGTGATCTCCCACCTCAGCCTCCCAAGTAGCTGTGACTACAGGTATGTGCCAGCATGCCTAGCTAAAAAAAATTTTTTTTGTAGAAAAGGGGTCCAGCTTTTCTCATTTATTAATAATACTAAACTGAAATCTTCACAATCTTTGACATCTCATCATTTGCTAAACTGTTGTATTAAAAAGGGGGCAGGATTCTTTATAATGTGCACATTACTATATATGTACATTATACATACATATATATAAATATATTAACATATACAAAATATTTTATATATATTATATACTCACTCTCTCCGAGTTTGGCTTTTATGGTGACCACAGTATATGCTAACCTCATACACTGTGGTCAGCATTGTCTCCCAGGCATTTTCCCATGTCATTATAGTATAAAAACTTTTTTTTTTTTTCTTGGAAACGTAGTCTCACTCTGTCATCCAGGCTGGAGTGTACTGGTGCGATCTCAGCTCACTGCAACCTCTGCCCCCCCAGGTTCAAGTGATTCTCCAGCCTCGGCCTCCTGAGTAGCTGGGATTACAGATGCATGTCACCATGCCTGGCTAATTTTTGAATTTTTAATAGAGACAGGGTTTCACCATGTTGGTGAGGCTGGTTTCGAACTCCTGACCTCATGATCCACCCATCTCAGCCTCCTAAAGTGCTGGGATTACAGGCATGAGCCACCATGCCCAGCCGTATAAAAACATTTTTAATGGTTGTAAAACTCCACTAAAGTTAAGACTAAATGTTTTAGATTTAAAAGCTAGTGGTTCATAAGAGTGACAGAAAAATGAAGAAGCCATCAACCATTCAACTTTCACATAACCTTTTAGTACACTTAGGTTTATTTATTTATTTTTTTAATTCAGAAAAAGAGGTTGGGTATGGTGGCTCATGCCTGTAATCCCAGTGCTCTGGGAGGCCAAGGCAGGAGTATCACTTGAGCTCAGGAGTTTAAGACTAGCCTGGGTAACACAGCAAGACTCTACCTCTACAATTCTTTTTTTTTTTTTCCATTAGCAGATTATGGTGGTGCTTGCCTGTAGTCCCAGTTGCTCAGGGGGCTGAGGAGAAAGGATCCCTTGGGCCCAGGAGTTAGGAGCTGCAGTAAGCTCTGATCATACCACCACACTTCAGTCTGGGTGACAGGGTGAGACCCTGTCACTATTAAAAGAAAACAAAACAAAATAAAACAAATTTCAAATTGGTGAACAAAGAGACTAAAAAACCCACAATCATGTGTTCATAAATACTTAAGGAGTGTTTTGATATAAAATAAATTTACTGACATCTCTTCTACTCTGTAGACAAGAGTAAAAAATGAGTGGTACAGAGATTTGGATATCGAAAAGGTTCTGCAGTTAAGCTGATAAGTTCCAGGATTAGCTGGAGGATCAACCTCACAATTCACTAAAAGAGAACAACGGCTTTAAGTCACCCCCACCACGATGAATACAAAGCCATGGACAGAAAGGGGTGACTAGCCTTCCCTCAGGAGTTTGTCAAAAAAGTTAAAGTTGGTCATTTTATTTTACTGCCAATTTTATTTCTCCCCGACTTTAAGAATGGGTCTTGGGCCGGGCACGGTGGCTCATGCCTGTAATCCCAACACTTTGGGAGGCCGAGGCGGGTGGATCACGAGGTCAAGAGATCGAGACCATCCTGGTCAACATGGTAAAACCCCGTCTCTACTAAAAATACAAAAAATTAGCTGGGCATGGTGGCGTGTGCCTGTAATCCCAGCTACTCAGGAGGTTGAGGCAGGAGAATTGCCTGAACCCAGGAGGCGGAGGTTGTGGTGAGCCGAGATCGCACCATTGCACTCC